ATATCGTTCATCTGGAATGTCTTAAGCGCTCTTTTTTTCGTTCATGGTTTTTTTTTTCATTTGATTTTTGTGTTTGTTGATTGTTAAGCATATTTTTATGTTCTCATCGTTCAAACAAACTGTAAACATCACAGTTAAGAGGAGAGCCACTACTGTGGTTGAAGTGAGCGAAAACAATGGTTTTCGTGGGTTGGTTGGTTCACATCATTCATGGTATGGCTTGACCATAGCCAAGGCGTATAGTGTCTGTCTGATATCTCGTGCACGAGTCTTTTTGTCATTCTTATACATACAAAAAAGATCGTTTAAATAAATAATAATAATATGAACGAAAAAAAAAATGTAATTTCCATTTTTTTATCAAATGTATTTAAAACATGAATAAAACATAAAATTGCACTAATTTTTCCGCTTCCATGACCATGCACGGCTCCGGCCTGATTGAACTCTTTTTGGACACACTTTGAAAAGCATACATAAACAATGAGATGAAATTAAGAACGCATTTATTCCATTTAAAATGCACATACCTACAACATTTTAAAATGATCGTCGATTCCATTGTTTCTATTAGGCGAAAAAAAAAACGAATTTAGATTGAACTAGGCAGAGAGAGAGAAAAAAACGCATATATTTTAACATAAATGTTAAATGTGAACTGATATGATCCGAGCGAAGGAGAATAAACACGCACCTGAAAAAAAAACAGAATTCCAACTATTCAAGTGGGGCCAGCAGTAGAAACAGTGGGCAAATAACATGATTTAATTGATGGCTTCCTATTTGCATATCTCAGTCTACGTATTTGTTCAACGATTTTAATTTTTGTTGAACTATGCGCGGATTGTTTTTTTCTTCTTCTTCTTTTCACTATAAAAACTATACATTATTTTTTAAATATTCCGCATTCATTCAACTCTCTTGACAAATCTGCGCAGACTGATAAACGGAATGTGATTATTTTCCAAGTTTGTGACAATTTTTCTGCGAACTTCGGTATGACTTTTATAAATGGGCAAAAAAAATCAGTAGTAATTCCAAAGTTGTCATTGCATTGTAACATGACAAATCGTCACAAGCATCGAGAAAGACAAGCAAAAGATCAAAGAGAAAGGCTATTAAAATTATAATCCGTAGACGTGTTTGTAGAATTGCATAAAATATGAAAACAAAACAAAAAATCCTCCCGAGAATTTGCCAATGTAATAAATACCTCTATTGAAATTGCGATAATATCAAATGAAATATGCGAGATGTGTGTGGCCTCATTTTTATTTTTCAAGAATAAAAAAAATACGTTAATAATCGCATCGAATCAATAAAGACTTCAATGGAATTCTTGCGATGATTGATAGTGTTTCAGGTTGTTTATTGAAATTTAAGCATGGGATGCGCTTCAAAGCTAATGATTTGAAAGGTGTGTTGTTTCATTGTTGGCGGTGCACTTTTTTCGAAGTATGCAATTTGCAAAAACATTTAATTGCATCATTCAATAGAAACACATGCATTACACAGGCATAATTCAAAATGGATTTGCCTTCACGTGCATGTCGAATACGATTATGCAAGCGCAAATTTGGTCGAAACGTTCATTTTTTGGATCGTCTTTGGACCTTTTTTTATGTTCATTAATGCGATGTAGTTTTTTCCTTGTTAAATAAACGTAATTTCGTTTGTTTTTCTTTGCTTTGCATCTGGCTGAATCAACACGAGGCGATTTGTTGCTTTGTATTAAAGCGCTCGACGTAAACGTAACTCAAATCCGTCCATTATTCTTACCTCGATTCTTTTTTTCATATAATGTCCTTCATGCATCGCACTCACATATACAATTTCTTTTTTTTCGCTGATGTGCACACTGTTATTTTAATAGTTTATAAACGATGTGCTCGATTTACTTGGCAAACGACGGCACACAGTGCATCAAGCATTTTGTAATTTTATCTCCGCTCTCTCTGTTCTGTGTGTCTTTCTCTACTTATCTTGCCCGCTGTCTTTTGTTTCGGAGCGCGTCAGAACAAATGAACAATTCGAAAGAGGACAAAAATATATGAGCGCGGGCACACAACGAAAAACAATACACTCGACAATAAAAGAAGTGACGCTTGCAAAGAAATTGCAGCAGCAAAAAGTGTAAATACACACAGAGACACACAGCAAAGATGGCAAAAATCAACAAAATTAAATAAATAATAATCTTTAGCACAAAGTGAATCTTCCGTGTGTCCAGTTTTGTGCACAGTATGCGCGATGTACACCGTTCGCGAGTGATAGAGATACACACTGACATCACCATCAGCAACAACAGCCACGAAAAAAACCGAATAAGAAATGCTAATATTAATCGCGTACTTTGTGCACAGGCAAAGAAGAAGAAAAAAAAACGTCGACAACCATTAAATGCACACACAACAAATGAAAAGAATGAACACACAGGAAAACGACGAAATGAACGACAAAGAAATTCGCAGAGGCGAATAGTTAAGGCTGATGTGGTATCATGAGTCGAAAAGACAACACGAAATGAGCCACAAACAGCACCCATAAATGAGAGACCGTAAAAAAAAGATCCGGAATGGACACAACAGCCTTATGCGACAAACTCCGTGGCAGCTGAACTCTTTTGCTTTGGATAGATTTTTGAACTAGTACTTGGCACGCTATTATTATCTCTTTCCGATGTTGTTTTTTCTCTTTGTTGTCATCGTTGTCGATGTCGCTGCCGCTGCCGTCGTCGTCGTTGCTCTTGTCTCGTGTGTTTATTTTCACTATTTCTTGATGCAATTTCCATGAAGACGGCGCAACGACTGCATGAGAGAGAGAGACTGAGAGAGAGAATTGATACCAACAGAAATTTTGCTGTGTATTTGTATGCATAGCGAACAGATATTTGCAATTATATGTCTTATTATATGGCGGCGCATTTATACTGCTTTCTGATGATGGTTTCAATGCATTTTTTTACTTTAAACGGTGTTGAGCTCCGGATAAAAACACTGTTTCTCAGTATTTATGTTCTTCTGCTTGGTTCGCACTCTCTTTTGCTTTCTCACTCTCTATCTATCAATAGCTTGCGACGCAAAAAATGTATTTCATCCACACAAAATATAAATTGCGAGAAAAAAGCCCTATGAAATATCTATGTTCGAGACCGTACTTTTGCAAAAGCAGTAAAATGAAAACACATTGACAAATACTAAATAAGAATATATGTATCTGAAGAATGTGTGCTCGAACCAAACGTGTTTTTGTGGCTTCCGTACGGACAAACGAAGATAAGCGCGTACCAAAAATGGCAGTAGTAGTACACATAATAAACGCAATTCTACACACACTGACAGAGCGAAACAGCATCGAACGAAATGCAAACAGCTCAAATACCGATTCATGCATAGTATGCGAAGCCAAAGAAGGAAAGCATGGCGTGTAACAGAAAAAGACTCATGGTCGAGCAAAAAAAAAACGTATCCAGAAAAAAGCAAAAAAAATAACCATCTCGTATTCGATGATAAAAAGGTGAATTTTTGTGCTGTGTATGCCCAAAAAATAAACCACGAAAAGAATATAAAGAAAATATCATTTCTCCTTTTATATCTGTTTCCAATTGTATTTCTTCTTTTCTGTTGTTATTGTTGGTGTTCGGCTCTTCCTCTACATGGGTTTAAAAAAAAATCCGTCTGATGTTGTTCTGTGTTGAATTCAGTTTGTTAGGCAATTTCTTGCCATATATTTTCCGTGTTGTTTTTTTCTCTCGCTTGTATAAGTGAAACGATGGTAAAGTATTTGAATGAAAAATACACAAAATCGAAACAGTTCATGTACAATGATAAAGTGGCGCATGTATTGCACTGATGGTATTTCGTTCATTCGTATATCAGAACATTTGCGTGAGTGTGCGTGTTATTCTTTTTTTTTCTCAAGAATCGGCACAGTAAGATGAAGCATTTTAAATGCTGTATGTTATTTTTTTCTCTCTCTTTTGATTCTTTTTATCTTGTGCTTGTCTTTCGTATGGTTTGGTTTTCAACGTGTTTTTGATCATCGTTCATTCTATTCACTCTTCGCTCTTCAATGGACCGAATGCTGTACATGTGAATCGAATCAGTATTGGTTTCATTTCATATACACTTTTGTTGTGTCGATATAAGAGACCATTCGATGTTTCCCTGTGTGTACAAAACATTACACGTTTTCGCTCTCTGTCTTTCTGTTCGCCGTTTTTTTTTTTATATTTCATCTCTTTACACTTGTCGTGTAAATGTGTTTGTAATGCCATGTAATTTTGGTGTATTAGATCCGTACAAGAAATAGATTCATCTATTCTCTAGAACAATTTGACCCAATGCAATGGAAATGAACTAAACGAAAAAAAAAAGAATAACTCATACTATCAATACCGGTTTGTATGTAGTGACCGTTTCACAATCCAAATGCATACACGTACACTCGTTGCTTGTCTTTTTCTATCTATGTTTGTGTACAGAAGTCCCAGAGTGTGTGTTTCGAATGTTCTTCGAGTGAAGCGACTTTTTTTCTGTGTTTCTCTCTATCTTCTTCAAACAAACAGATCATATGCGAGAGTTTTGGTTGAGTTACACTAACGCCGTAGTTTAACAATCTAAACAAAACTCTCACATGCCCAAGAAAACAATAATAATGCACAACAATGAGAAAGAAAGACCTTTTCAAACGTCAAAATGTAATCACGTACCAAAATTTTTTTTTGTGTCCGTTCCTTTCTGAACGTGAACAAAACGTGAATTCTCAACATCATCAATAAAATTGTATATTGTTGCAAAGCAAAATGTTCATTCAAAAAAATCATAATTTCGTACAATGAATTAAAAACGAATGGAATCCCATAAATTTGATGTATTTTATTTTTCTTTTTAAAAAAATTAAGAATGAATCGCCGATTGATATATTAGTATGCTTGATATGAATTGTTAAATATTGAACGAAATTTGATACAAAAATTACGATATAAATATTTCACATACATTCAGTTGAAAATATATTTCTGCAAATACCGATGCTGTTGCAATATTGCTGGTGTCGAAATATAACACTGACAGGTTGTGATCAAGTTTTTATGAGATTTTGAACTCTTTCTCAAGCACACTCAATAAATTCACTTTACAATGGTTCAATTTTTTTTTTGAATCGTTTATTTATTCAAAACACTTTTTCCTTGTTTTGTATGTAACCCATTTAAATTCATCCAAATAAAAAGTTCACTCTGATTTATTTGCAAAAATTATTATTATTATTATTTGTTTTCGCCAATAAAACTTTTTTTGGTTGGTGTTTATAATTCTTCACCGTTAGTGCAATGATTTCAATTCGAATATTAAATCATTCACCGAACACAACACTAATTTTCTATCGTTGTTCTGTGCACAGTACTCACTCAACTATTTTTTCAGCGCTCGAATTGTAATAAAATTCACTAGCAATCGCATTAAATTATTATTTTTTGGTTTTGCTCTTTTCGTTTATTATTTTAGTTGTTTTTTTATATCGTTTCTTCTTTTTTTACTGAATGGAAATTATTTTCCTCTGTTTTTTTGGTAAAGCCGCTTTTTTGGTATTTTGTTTACATGCAACAAAGACCAATAAAAATCGCCCGATTCACATGCAAAAACCATAAAAATTTGATTTACACATTCGTTTATTTAATATAATATATTTTCTTTCGTTTATTCTTCGGTATGTTTTGCCAATCGGCTTGTGGATTTGCGCGAATCGCTTTCTTCGGCAATAATTTATGAAGTTTTTTCTCTCCTTTTTGTCCTTTATTGTTGACAAAAAAAAAACCGAATTGATTATTTTGCTATATATGTATTGCGTTTGTTCATGCGATTAAAATAGTTTCGATGCTCGCGATGAAATAAAAAACATTTCTTTTTTTGTTTTCGTTTGACAACCAAATTGTAGTTAAGTCAACAAATTCCTTTATTTTGTGTCACAATTTCAAACGCAAAAAAAACTCGAAAAAAAGAAAATGAACGAAACTGCATAATTTTGCTATGCCACAAATGGAACTCATGCGAAAAATTACGTTGAATGGAATGTGTCGCAGACACAATTCTCACGTGAAATAAATTCGAAATTCACTCATTCACTCACTTTAAAATTTCACCGTTGGGTTATAGTATTGAAATCAATACCGAATATTCAATATTCATCAAAATAGTTCGTCCTTCTTTTTGTGTGTAATAAAATTACGCGAGCCCGAACAAACCAACGATATAAACAACCGTTTCGATTGCAGACCTAACGTAAACTAAACCGAATTTTACGTGCACATTAAACACAATCGTCGTCATGTGTTGTTGTTGTTCTACCGTTCATTCACACGGATGTGCGTAGCGAATGCAAAGTGCCGCACCGTTGACGGCGACGTAGACGTCGATGATGATGACGGCAATGACGATGATGATTACTATCGTACAGTATTCCAATTTGAACGTTTCGCTGAACTCCTTTTCGGGCATGAAGCGATAACGCAAGCAAACCACTTTGCACACACTGCATGTAAACTTATCATCTCATGATGAAAAAAAAGAATTCAAAATGCTTGCAATAGAATATTTGAAAAAGAAAAAAACCATCGGAGAGTTAAAATAAAATGTATCAAGCAAAATCGTCTCTCACTCTCTGGCCGTCTCTCTCTTGTTAGTCTATCGCATAAAACCGGTTTATTTTCTGATTTGAACGCTCTCTCCGTTTTCATTCATGATTCTCCCATTTCCCCTGCAAGCGAACTCACATGAAAATGACTATACATTGAACGTTGGTGATATCGTTTGCGGTGCGACGCAACTCGTCTGCGCTGCATGTATGCATCATATCCATCATCCATGTTGTTGGATGGATAATTTTCACCTTTTTTGCCTGAAGAACAAACTGATGTTGAACCGAATTGTTCGAAGTGGTGTGCGCATGTTCAGGAATTGATAGTAACATACGAGAGTCTACTCGATTCAACATACCGTATGCTAAAAGCCGTATCCATTACGGTCTTCAATTTAAATGCCTTCACAACGGTCTTGGTTCCTTTTGTTAATTTTAATAATAAGCAAATATGCGTTGGTCAAACGAGTAATTTTACTACAATCTACGACGGATTTATGTGACCCAACAACACTCAATTGACCATGCTAAATAACAGTAATATGGGCAAGTAAATCGCTCTATTCTTAGCCGTGTTGCAAAGAGGCTGCATACAGTGTGGCAGTTCACTGTGAATATTGGTGTGTTTGCGTTGTCAACAAAATGTTATTTATTTCCTTAAATTTTTTAGAAAGAAAAAAATGTTATTACATTAACAGTAAATATTCGATGTGTGCATATATGTAAAAGGCCCCCTTTTTTTGCGTTTGCTTGTGGATCCCATATGCATTTGCCGAAAAAGTAGAGAAACAAACATCGTCAAATGAATAACAGACATTCTTGTACATTGCTTGCATTCTCCACGCGTATAGTTTGCACAACTGAAAAGTTTCAAAGTCACAGTTGGCATACGCCGATATATACCGGCTCAGCATGCTGTTTTAATGGTTGTTCTTTATTGTTTTCAATCGTTTTTCTTTGTCTCGTGTGTTTTGCGTACACCGTACATACACTGAAAGTACATTGTCTTGAGGAAACTTTCTTTTTTTTCTTTTTCGCTGTTGCTGCCTCTCTTCGATTTCTTCACGCGTTTATGTTCCTATTTAGCAAGATGTGCAGCCGGTGTGTGTGTGTTGTGTGTACCTCAGGAGGTGAGCATGCAAAATTTCATGTAATGTTAAAGTAAAATAAATGTAAATACGGTGAACGTTCCAATGCCATCGCTTGATCCTTGTTTACATAATTTCGCCAAAATGCGATAAAGAATGTTGCCAGAGACTGAATCATCGTTCGCTTTTTACACTGTTGCGGAGGCAGCATGCATAAAAATAATGATTTTGTGATAAGATAGCGACTGAAGTACACAGGCATCTTTTAAAACGTCGTAAAATTCTTCGTATAAAATGCCATAAGACGGGAAAATTAAAGTAAGAAATTCTCTTTCGCTCACACTTTTGTCGTCTTCTCTCACTCCTATGACATCAATTTTGCAATGCATTTGGATGTTTTTGTTTTTGTTTTTTTTTTGCTTCTCTCCGCTTCTTTATTTAAACGGCAAAAGATTTGGCAGAATTTATAATAACCATTTGCCATATTTCACTCGCGAAAGTTTCTCGGAAATTACATAAAAGTCGAAGTGATTATCGTGCATTTCGTTTTCCTCGATTGAATAGTTATAGAGTTCGAGTAATGAAATCGTATGACGCATACGACGATGCTATCTGATATGATTTCTGGTGTGTTTACTGTTTAGTCGCATGAAAATGTGATATGAGAAACGAGTTATTAAAAACAAGAAAACATAAACGCTTCAACTAATAATAATAATTTGCTGACATTTGATTCGTGTTGATATCGTAAAAATTACATCAAATTATATGTGTTGATTATTATTATTTTGCATTGATGTGCGAATTCAGCACATAAATACATGCGTTTATCATCTAATATTCATCGTCGTGAATTCATTCAATGTAGAGAGTGAAGATTGATTTAATTGGAGATCGTTTTGTGTGCCGTCGTCATTAAATGACAAATACACAAACCATGACGAAAATTCGCCACATTCACTGAACCAACGGAGATTACAATCTGTCGTTCCATTCACACATCAAATGCTCGAATACACCAACTAGTTCGTTATTTTATTGAGTCAACTGTTGCAGTGTGTGTTTGTGTACGGACACTGTCACTTGTAATCATTGAACGACCATGCCGCCGTCTCCGTCTCCCGTTATAAATGCGATTCACAACGAATCATTAATTTTCGAAAGACAATAGTGGTATTTTGACACAATCAGGCTGCGTAAATCAAAGCAATTGTGCGTAATTGATTTGTGATAAGAAACACTATAAGCTTTTGGCCTTTTGTTTTCGACCACTCTTACTTTCTCCACCCTCCTCTCTTGCTCTGTCTCAAATAGACGTGACTTTATTGGATTTTGGATAGCAAAATAACAATATATCATTTGAAGAGATTTCAGTCAAAAATACTTTGAAAATGCATCACGTCAAAAACGATGCTACTCAAAATTTACATTTTCCAATTATATATTTCGATTGAGTTTTGCAAGGAGGTTTTAAATTAGCATATTGATTACATGTGAACGCACGCCACACACAAATATCGTGAATGCTCTTGGAATGAAATGATTACACGAGATGAAATCATCTGTCATTTCAGAAGAAAACGAGTCTCATGTCATTTCAAAAATGAGACCAAATTAATCAAAAATATTAAATGAACCTTACTAACCTCAGAATTCCCGTCGAAGCGAATGGGTGCTTCGCTGTCTTTGTGCTTATGTATTAACTGAATTGACTGATTGAATGCGTACGTGTGTGAATGAAAACAAAGTTTTTTTTGCACGGAAATTAAAGAAAAATAAAAGGGTAAACCAATAAAATGGTTCTCAGTTTTAGCTAATATACGTTTTTGTTCTATTGTTGTTGATTCATTTGCAAAAGGGACGATTGTATGTGTTTTTTTTATATTTTTTTGTATACATGACTCAATGAGTTATGAGACACACATGCACAAAGTGAGAAATCACATCACGCAGATGGATCTGTACGTATAGTAGTATATCACCATAAAAAAAAACAAGTAAAAATTGCCAGTTTTATTTACATTTTCGCGTTTTACATGAAAACATATCTTATCGCATTATCTGTAAATCCTTTTTTTAATGCTGAGCACACAATTTTCTCATCACCCTTAAATTAAACGCTACCGATTCGAATTTTCATACTGGCTTTTTTTCCCGTATCGTCGTAAATGTACACTGGCTGAGTGACAAAAACCAAAAAGCATTGTTCAGATCACGGAACAAAATCAAAGTGAATGCGATAAGGTTGGATAGCTATGGGTTTGTTGTTTGTTTGTATTTGGGATTCGATGACACGCACGCACACATAAGAATCACTATTCAATGTATTTTTAATAATAAATTAAAGGGTTTTTGTATTCGAAGATGGATTGCAATGAAATGTTATACAAAGTCTCGTGTCATCTAAAGTACTCCTAAACTGGCATCGAACCACCAAGAGATTTAGCTCACAGTTATGTAATAACAAGGCAAGATACCGAAGTATACCAATTTGTGTTTTACTTTACTTTTTCCATTCGGGTTGTATGTGTGTACGTTTCGTCTGTGTGATATTAATAGTGGTCGTTTATTGTCGTCGGCGCTGTTTTCAGATAGCTGTACATTGTGCTGTGCATAGTAGCTCCGTACATCGGCGAAACACTGGATTTAAAAGAGAGCAAACACGTTTCAACTGCACTAACAAATAGCACATAAACATGCATGTTTTACTTACATGCTGTGAGCCGAACACGGCTCTCTATCTAAGCGTCAATGATTCATGGAGTGTTTGAAAGTGTCTAGCACACCCATCGTCGAAAATATATCGCCAGGAGAATCATTACAAGGACTCGACGATTTTTTGTAGTTTTTTCCAATACTCCTACCACACGTAAAAATAAAAGATAGATTTAAGAAAAGATAGATATTCAAGATATCTTATCTTTATCTTATCTTTTTAATTTTTTGAAATACTGAAAATCTTTATCTTATCTAGATACAAATTTCGTATCTATGAAAAACCCTGTCAATGAATATGCTGAACAAAATTTTCTTCCTTCTGTTATTTTTTTGCACCCTTCGTGGTTGCCTCTACACTTACTTACACACTATCTCTATATATGGATTACCTATTTTTTCGGGTTGTTGTGATTGTAATGTTGAACCGGCGAACGGCAATGATAGTCACAATAACAACAATAATAATAATGATGAAAGACAACGACATCGTTGAACTAACAAGAAAAATAATGTTAATAATATCATTGTGTTACGCTGCATGTGCTCGAATCGGGTACCGCCAACTCCCCGAACAGTTTGTTTGAATATATGATAATTTTTTGTTTTGTTTTTGGGTAAATCAAATGTCTTCCATCATTCTATTCTATTTTACATTTCCCACGTCATGCATCTTCATCGCTGAAAAATAATTCGAACGAACTTCCTTGGCTTTGATCTGATTTGTCACCACACCGAATGCTCATATAACGAACGATACAATTGTTCCCTATTCTACTTTCGAATATCTCAACCCCGTTGAGAAAATAAATTCACTCAAACATTTATT